AATTTTCTGATTTCTTTACCAAAAGCAGAGTAAGCTATTTTAAATATGTTAAAAATAAATGTGTAATATTTTAAATATGTTAAAATAACTTAATTAGTAATAATAATAAAAATTTCCATTTTCTTTAATAGAGTTTCTTTTTCTAATTATATGTTTCCGATATTTTTTATGTTATTCTCAAACTTTTTCTGTTTCATAGTCATCTGAATTATTCTTATGAATCTTCTGATTTTTACTTTCATGAGGTTGGCAGATTGATTGGAAATTCATACTTTAATTTCACCCTCTCTTACAAATATTAAAAAAAAAAAAAAAAAAAAAAAAAAATGTCTCCATCAGGCAATAGGTTTTTGCTTGCAGTTTTGCATATAGTTTCTGCACTTGTTAATGATTAATGTTCCAGATTCTGTTTACCCTTTAAAGAATTTGATTCTTCTGTTATTTTTCATTAATTTTTCCGTCACTAAATAACATCAGGTATTCTATTTCTTGTTATTTAAGCAAAATTATTCTGAACAATGTTATTCTGTGTTTGCATCCTACATATGACGCTGTGGTCTCATTTCTGTAGTTACAGCTAAAGAGAAAGACCTTGAAAGTAGTACAGTAGAATTCCAGAATTCCCCAAAGGTTGTGCGGATTTGAGGACAGAAAAGATAAATCATAATATTCAGACTAAAAAAGCAAAATACATAAGGCGTATTAGATGCATTTCATTAAATTATTATACACTATTACAATAATTTATTATGTATATTAATTATTACACATAGAAATTGATTATATTAGTATTCATTTACATTAGTGCTTACATGGATATTTAAAAGCATTAGGGATGTATTCAATAGATATAAAAATAAGGGATATTAATAAAGCATAAAATATTTCATTTTTTTCTACATGTTTCAAACATTTTTCTGATGGAGGTTTGTTTAAAACTTTAGGGTGCTCCAGAGTAAGTTTTTTTTTTTTTTTTTTTTTGGTAAATTATATAGAGTCATAATCTCTTGCTCTGTGACACAGCTTTGTTGTTCTAAAAATTTTAGGAATTTTTCACAAAGTTCCAGACCTTCAATAAAAGATATTTTATCACTTCTATCAAATTCACTATCTGTGTCATTGTCAGAATTGTCTTCTTGCTGTGGCGAGTTCAAAACAGAGCAATGATTTCATCATCAGTCATCTGATATGCCAGCTTTGGCTCATCTGAACACATCATCCATTCAACAATATCTTCTTCCTGCAAAGCCTCCTCATTTATTTTTTCTTTCGAAAATAAAAGCAATTCTCTTGCTTTAATCCTTGCTGCACTGACCCTAAAACCAGAAAAATCCAGGTCATCACTCTCAGTTTCAATAAACAAAGATGGCCGTACATTATGCCAGGCATTTACTAATGTTGTTTGGGAAACAGAATTCCTCACAAATAAATGCAGTCTTTGACTGTGAATTTTATATATATATATATATATATATATATATATATATATAATCACAAAGTGGAATAGAATGGTCACTTGAAAGTTTTTTTTTTTTTTTTCAGAAACTCTGATTTATAGTATCATTTAATACTGTGTATTATGCCCTGGTCCATTGGTTAGATCAATGACGTAGTATTTTTGGGGGCAAAAAAAATGGCCATGACATTTAACATGTTAAAATAGTTGCATCTGAATGTGCAGAGCAGTTGTCTAACAATAGTAAAATCTTGCAATTTGATGGTAACCCCACACTGTTACAATGCCTTCTAGCCTCTTTAATGAAATGCTCCATGAACCATTCAGTCATAAGTTGTTTTGTGAACCAGGAATTTTTATTACTCCTGTAAATCACAGGTAAGGATTTTACTCCTTTCAGAGCTCTGGGATTGGTGCTCTTACCTACTACCACTGGTTTACATTTGTAAGTTCCAGCTGCATACTACTTGTAAAATGGTAACTCTTTCTTTAGCATCTTTCACCCCTGGTGGTGCACTTTCTTTAATTGTCACAAATGTCTTTCTTGGCAAACATCACCGAAAACGTCCAGTCTTGTCCATATTAAAAACCTGTTCTGGTCTAAGATTTTCTTCTGCCAGTAACACAGAAAAATTAATCAATAAACTCCTCTGCAGCATCTTTCTTTATCTGCTGAAAGTTTTTCCCCACATGCTTTCAGATTACGTATACTGTGTCTCTGTTTAAATCTATTCAGCCCACAACTGCTGAAATTGCACGGCTTCTCTATTTTTAAATCAGCATGAATCTGCTTCACCTTTTCTCTCAGGAACGGTCCCGAAATTGGTACCCCATCATTCCGTCGCTGCCGGAACCACTCGCACAAGACAGCATCGAGGTTTGCCGATTTCGCCTCATGCAAAGATTTCTGTGTTAGAATCACTGTTGCTGTAAAATTTCAACAGTTTTTCTTTATTTTTCCGTATATCATACACAGTCCATGTCGCTATTCCACATGATTGTGCTATAAAGCGGAGTAGCACCTACCTCCATCTTTTGCAGAATTTCCACTTTTTGCATTACCCTCAATGCAACATGTTAACGTTTTTAAACATTGCAAGCAGTAAAACCATGAGTATGTTTCTTATCTGTCATTATATTAACTCGCGAAGACGTGCGCTACTTTTAGCTATGCGAGGATGCGTGTCGGGCTCCGTAGGCCCGAAGCATTATTTCTTAACAAAACAAAAATAAAATTGCTCGTGTAATTGAAGAAAAAAATTTAAATAATAAAAACAGAGTGTATAAAATGTAAAAATATACTTTTCATCTAATAAGTCTAATAAAATTGTATTTGAAAGAATTTTAAGACTGAAATTATTTATCATTAACAACAAAAATTAAAGTGATTTCGAGCGCAAATGAAATTTAGTACTTATTTCTGTAATATTAAATTTTTATAGCAATAATTTCAAAATAAAACTTACATTTCACATTTTTTTTGTGAATAATCGTGCTGTGTTTACCACAAAAATTTTTTACACATAGCGCAGCAAATTTGTGATTTTCGCTCTGTTACGCCAAGACTGTAAACTTTTTTGCAATTTTTAACGAACTTTTCAAGGCATATATTATTGGACCCATTTTATTTATTTCTCTTCTAGAATGGTGATCTCTTATGTTATCGAACAAACATCTCATTAGAAATAGAAAACATTTGTTAGACATTGTTCGATGAAAAATATCAAGCACTGTTCCGTCAGTCACCCAAAGGTAGATAACATTTACGTGAGAAGCCTTGTTGAGTCCTCCAAAATAAAGACAGATAAATGCTCTGATTTCTGTAATATTTGTGGATCGAGCATCTCTCTATCTTTCAAATTTGACGGCGATGGTTTCGATATAAATGTTTGCACAATCTACTAGAATTTTTACTATTATTTTATCCATAAGCAGTTGCCAAGAATTCGTAGTGGAGGACACAAATTTTGCTTCACAAACATTTCTAAGCAATTTTTTCACAATGTTGTGAGCAAGAGTTCTCACAGCAAGTCTTAGTTCTTTTTTATTCCATTTTGTCACATTATATTTGCTATGATAACAATTCGCTGATGGACACAAAATTACTTAATTCATTACTAGATTCATCACTTGAGTCTAATGCCTCTTCAGAATTCGATTGGGGATCACTAAACTGTTCTTCACCAACTATTTCTTCGTCCTTTTCATTAATTATATCTTTATCAGTTGACACTTTGGCTAATAGTTTCTGTAGTCTTTTCATTTCATCGTCATAACTCAAATAGCAAGACCTTTTTGCAACTGCCTGATCTCTTTCACAATTTTAAATGACAACGCGAGCGCACGCCTCGGGCCTGGGAAGCCGGTTGCTCAGTTTCTGAGAGAAGATGAAGGGTGAAATTCCGGAAATGCTTGTGAATGACAAGTATATGACCTTAAACGCAGCTACTGAGAAGGTCAAAAAATTTTACCAAAGGGAGAAATTTTTGTATTACGTTTTTGTAATGACCGGGCTCGCAGACCCGACACGCGTTCTAGCGGGTTAAAAAGCGCTGAAATTTAAAATATTCTTAATTTATCCACAAAATATCCAGATTAAAAAAAAAAAAAGACAGCACTAAACAATCTCGTGAAATAACAAAGTTCAGAAAGTACAACAATGCGAATCGTGAACTTGAAAGAAGAGTTGAGTGAATCGTCTGCTTTTTTTACCTCGATGCAGATTGCAGGGAAAAACACTTTATCATGATTTCAATAATTTGCTAATTCTGTTATGACTCATTATTATTCGGTAATTATGATGTAATTATTCGATAGGTATTTTTTCTTCGATATTTAATACTCCATGTTGTGGTTTCCGGAACCTATAAACTCAATGTTTATAATTTTGAGAGGCAACACAGATTTCAGGAGTTGGTGGATTTAAGGTCGGCGGATTTTTGGTATTTGACTGTACTTTTTTTTTTTTCTATGATTTATTTTTATTTTTAATACTCTAATAGCCATTGTGAATTTTCCTTCCTCTTTTGATCTAAGCTCATTTTGTTTATACATTTAGTTTTTGAGATATTCCAGTTTCTTCAAAATTTACACTAAGATTTCCCACCAGGTATTAAAAATGTAGTTTATTTAATTTTTTTGTGTAATTAAATTGTAATCTACTGTGGAATTAGAAGCGAAACATAATGGTCAAATTTATGTCATATATTTAATGCAAACAAAACATTGCAAATCTTTGAGAATTTTGCAAAGTTCGAATATTTTTCTTTAAATTTTGACATCTGTGTCCTTTGATGAATCTCTTGCTAAAGAATATAATCACTTTTATTCTATTTTACCAGCTTTGTATAAAAATGAAAATGTGGTAAAATGAATTATTAAAAGGTGTAATGAATAAAATGGTGTTTTTTAAACTATTTTTCAAGAAATTAAAATTTTGTAGTTGTGTAGTTTATTTTCATTAGTTTTAAAAGCAAATATGAAAAGAATAAAATTCAAATATGTAGATGTGTAATTTTTTTTTTTTTTTCCATTTGTTTTAAAGTAATGTTATTTTGGGAAGGCAGACTTTACATGTCAGAGTTTGTGCATCTCCACTTCGAGATTTAAGATTAGAGACTAAAAAGAACATTAACATATGTAATTTGCATGGAGGCTCAAGTAATGAAAGTAAGTTCATTTATTAGCATAATTTTAAAATATTTTTATAGACCCCTTTTTTTATATGAGACTTAATAGTAGTTTAAAAAAATATTTTCTTTAGACCTTGGAGAACAGATCTATATTATTATAGTTTATAAAAAATTATTTCCTGTAGATCCTGGAGAACTGGTCTCTGATAATCCTAAGCAGTCAACTTCCAGCTACACACTTACAGTAAGTAAAAAGCATGTTAAAAATAGGGCATCTCAGTTTTGAATATTGGTTTTTGAAATGTAAATCTCCAAACAGTTTAATGTTAAACTGATGGTATTATCAGCATAGATTACATAAATTCCACGTGAAACATGTATGGTTTATTTATGTACAGTAACATATAATTCATCAGCTTAATTTTTATGATTTAAAGAATATTGTTTTAATATCAGTAATTATTTAAACTGGAAAATGTCATTTTGTCTCTAATATTAGATCATGACTTCTATATTCTAACGTACTTAAAACTGTTTGGCTATCCACAGAAGTTAAATCTAGTTCTTGACAACTTATCACTCCTGGTAAAACTCAGGTGCAAAAGCAAACTTGGACGTTATTAGCTTCAACTTGTAAATGTTGCAAATTAAAATGAAAATAACAAAAATTAAGATCTTCTAATCAAAGTATACAACACTGGACTGATTTTCCTATGCTAAGGTTTACAATGTAATTAAAACAATAGCTCAGTGCAAATCTACATCACACTGGCGGTTAAAATAGAAAAATTTGCATCCTTAGTATTTACTGAACTCAACCATCTTTCTTGGCAAAATTATCATAGATATGCTAAGGACTTTCAGTAAGGTAGCCAACTCAAGGAGCAAGTTAAGAAAGGCCTAATGGTTTAAGATTACATTCTATTTTGCTGCTTGCCTTGTATTCTGCATAAACCTTTCGCCTGAGCAAGTTTCATCACTAGCCAAAATTGGATTCATTATAAAATTATGAATTAAGATGCTAGTAAATCACAAAAGAAGATCATTGCATGGCATTTAAGGATAGGCAGATATCAGCTTTGCATTACCCTAATTTTTTGATTAATTGATCCCTTAATGCAAATTAAAAATGATGTCAGCAAAATGAGTATCTCAGTCAGTTTAGGTTGTCCAGGGATAAAATCTTTTGTGTTTTACGTTCCAGTTTTCTTAAATATAAATTTTGGGACTAGAGGAATGTATAAAAGATAGATTTCATAATTTTTACAAAACTGAGTTCTTCAAATTTAAAAATCCCAAAAAATGAATCCTTGCATCATTTAAAATATTTTTGTAATTGGAAGTATATGTCTACAATCAACGGTTGCAAAAATAAAGGTAAAGTGAGGACTTTTGTAGACATAGTATATATATATATATAAGCAAATTTAAATTTAAATTTTAACAAACATGTGTAAAAGTAAAAAAGTAAATTTAAAGCCAAATTTAAAAAAAAAAAAAAAAAAAAAAAAAGCAAATTTAAAGCCACATTATATGTATATACAACAAGAAATGGGAAACGGTCCTCACCTCTTTAGAGAGGTATCACCGTGTAGCCAATAGGCTAAAATAATTTTGAATTCCATTAAATTTTGAGGAAAAGAAGGCCGAATCAAAATAAAACTTGTACCTCTGTTTGGACAGATTTATTGGCCTTGCCAAACGCTTTATTTATATATGTATACAAGAGTATTTACATACAGAAAAATGCAGAGTAAGAAATCAAATTTCGAACATTAGATATATAGAAATTACAGAGTCCTTGCTGCAGTTGTATTTTATCATCCATTATAAGGGAAGAATCGAAAAACAATTTAACGTATAATAAGTCATAAGTTTTAGTTTTTCACATATTAATAAGAAGAAAACAATTGAGACTTGCTGTCATAAATATGCTTCATAAGGTCTATAAGGAGTAAGTGTCCTTTGTCGTTCCGTAATAGAGAATGAAAAGCATTCATGGATATATCTCTCTTTTGGAACGTCTGTCAAATTGAAGATTAGGCTTTCCATTCCACCAAGACATGCATGGTGTCTGCTGTTTTAAGACCACATAAGCATTGAGCATGCATTCATTTGTTTGTACATGTTTAAGTAGGAAGGATATGCTCCGTGTCCTGTGTAGATCTGTGTCAGAAAGAAGTCTGAACATAATCTTGTCACCTTGATTTTAGGAAGTAAGTTGTATGTATGGTGACTTACTTCTGTCATTCCATCATCTTTATATATATATCTGTGTCATTCCATCATCTTTACCATTCCATTATTACTTCTTATTTTAAGTTTCTTTTTACATAGCTAATTGGCATCTTAATGTATAGTTGTATGCCTTGAGTTGTGCCTATTTTAGCATTCTCATCCGCCAATTTATTGCCTTGATATCCTGCATGGTCTTTTATCCAGTGCAGATTAACTTTAGTTTGAGCCATTATTCTTCGAATATCTTGTACGACTATTAATGTTGACTTGCATTTTGCAATAGCTTTTAAAGCTATTTGGCAATCTGATAAAAAGTGACAATGTCTTTTATGAAGGTTTTGTTGAACCCATTTTAATGCTAAGTATATTGCATTTATTTCTGCTTGGAATACTTACTATACAGTAATAAAGTCCAGAATTCGTCTTCGATCCATATGTAAAAATTTCATATCCTTTGTCATAAGGTGGATCTGGAATCCACTTAACAAGTTGGATATGGGGTAGATGAATTGTCCATTTTGAGAATTATGTTTCAGTTTCTTGATGTGATATAGATACATTATAAAAGTTGATATCTTTTGCTTCATGTCTTAATTGTAAGTATGAAGCTTCCATTTCCATTTGTAAATCAATTGGAATTATTCCTGAGAGTACTTGCAAGTAGGGAGTCAAGGTGGTTTAGTTGTTAGCGCCAGAAGAATTGGACGCTGGATTTTGGGGATTTTATCCCTCATTCTCGCAGTTGATTTACTCCACCATGTTTGGAAGGCATAAGTAGCAATTCTTAATAAAGCTCTTTTATATAATTCTTTACTACCAGTTTTAATAGACATTTCATTAAATTCAACTTATTCACTATTTTTCCAATTTCTGTTTTTATATAATGAATATGTGGAAACCATGAAAGTTTTTCCTCTAAAATGAGTCCTAAATATTTCATTTCTTTAACAGTATTTATAATCATACCTCCTATTGTAATTTTTGGAGGCTGCAGTTTGCACAGGCATTATATGTATAAATATTTATATTTACTGATAGGTTCAGAATGGCCATAAAATAACTTATTGCAAGGGGTGATTAAATGAAAAGGTACGAAATGACACAGTGGGTACAAATGTAGACTTTATTTAAAATATACGTCATAGGCCTGAGCACAACGATCCCACTGATGAACAATCCACAGGATTCCTTGTTCTCAGAATTCCTGTGGCTGTGAGACCCGGTCCTTCACAGCATCTTTGAGTACGTCGTCCGAGTTGAAGCGCTTCCCTTTCAGGTGTTTCTTCAGTGGACCAAACACATGGAAATCGCAGGGCGACATGTCCGGACTGTAGGGCAGATGGTCCAACGTCACCCATTTGAACTTGGCCAGTAACATTGTGTGACTCTGGAGATGTGTGGACATGTGTTATCATGGAGCAGAACCACACCCTCCGTGAGCAGCCCCGGTCTTTTGTTCTTGATGGACCTGCGTAGGTGTCGGAGTGTCTCACAGCACACATCGGAGTTAATGGTTTTTCTGTGCTCGAGGAATTCACAAGTAGTGGACCTTAAACGTCAAAAAAGATGGTGAGCAACACCTTGCCTGCTGATGACACGGCTTTGAATTTTGTAGGGGGAGGTGACGACGCATGCTTCTACTGCATGCTGTCCCGCTTTGTCTCTGGCTCGTAGTGATGGCACCAGGTCTCATCACCTGTGACGATCTGCTCCATGAAAGTCGGGTCTTCCTGATACCAAAACAGATGTTGCAGTTCCTTTTGCTGGTCAGTGAGCTGCTTCGGAACCTAAGCGGCACACAACCTTTCGATATTGCAACCTGTCGTGAACAATTGTCCACATGGTTCCATAGCTGACATCCACCTTCAACGCCAACATTCGCAATGTGACACATTGATCACTTCTCACTAGGTCGTCCACCTTGCCGATGAGGTTGCTCGTGATGACAGTGTTTGCCTGGCCTGGTCTTGGGTTATCACCCAAACTCTCACGACCTGCATGAAAACGGCACTCCATTTTCTGACAGACTTGTCAGAGACACATTTCTCCCCGTAAACTGTCACCATTCAATGATGAATAGCTTCCAGTTTCTTACCTTCCGCTGTCAGAAATCGGATAACACCTCGCTGCTCCTCAGTCGTCGAATTTTGCAACACAAACGCCGTCCTGTCCTCATACGGACTGCTGCATCATTTGGATGCCGCTTTTGATAAGAGCCTGTGCATGCGGGTACCCGCGCATGCTCCAATCCCAGTCTGAGACTCCAATCGCATCCCGAGATGTCGCACTATGTTCTCCCATGGCGGAATATGCAAATATTTAACTGTTGCGTTTTTATGTCGTTTCATAGCTTTTCATTTGATCACCCTTTGTATCTGTACAAGCTCCTACTTTCAACACAGTTAAATAAATTGGAATGAAACTCAAGATGATTGCAAAATAAAGAGTTGAGAATAATGCAAATAACAATCAAATTTTCACAGCTACAGCTATGATGAGGAAACTTTAAAAGTTTCCAACAGCAACATCCATTTTTTTTTTTTTATCATATTATGATTGAAGCGATAAAGGCGATGGAATAGTATCTGTAATTTGAAAAGCACAAGAGGAATGAGAGAGAAAAAGATTATCCCTTAAGAGAAAAGTGCAATAATAAAATATCTGTTATCCTTTAAGTAGTTAGATATTGAAGTTCATATCTCTACATGCAAAATTAGAACAAAAAGACACAATTAATATTTTTGTGGGACAGTTTTACATTTAATAAATAATCTACTGCTTTGCCCAATATGGAACCAAAAATGATAATCTAAGTAACTTTTGTTTCTTCTTAATTTAGTTACTCCCTAAATTTGTTTAAAAGTTTTTAAATTTGTTCTGTTAGTGTCTGAAGATTTATTCTCAATTTGTGCATGAATTTGTTATGTAAAAATATGGAATATTTCATATTCAACTTATTAAAAAACATGTTTAGTATTTTGCTAACAGAAATTTTTGCTCTCTGAGAATCTATATATTATGTTAATATTGTATTTTCAAAAATCTACCCTCTAAATATTGAAATAATTTTTAATAAATTCCCTCCTTATGTTGAGAATCTTTAAGTGTAAGTGTTTAACTTCAAAATTTAAAGAAACAAAGCTTTTAGCCACCTTTTCACTTTGCATATGTTGTATTGTACTATATTGACCTGTTCTTTACATCTTTAAGGTACATTTTTATTCAGAATTATTAAATCAACATTTCCTAGTAATTTTTCTTCTGAATTTCCATTCCTTTTGAAGAATCTCAGGAACAGCCATTTTCCTCTTAAAGAATCTCGGAGAACTCTTTTGTAAAATTATCTTATTCATCATTATTTGTTAGTCTGTTAATAAGGATTTCTTGCCAAATATTGGAATTTTGTAAAATCTCAATCTTTAAGAATATTGCATGAAATAATGCTTGTTATTTATTATGCTGATTAAAGTTATCATATGAAATAATTATTTAAGTATTGAAATTATAATTATTTTCTTAAATGTTTCAGGTAAAAGACTACAAGTTGTACAAATTCCTAATGCGCATGAAATCATTATATGAATCTGGTTCTTATGCAAAATATTTATTAATGACAGGTATGTACTGTTTTTATTTCCCTCCCCAGACATCTTAACTGTAAACATGTAGTATGTGAACTGAATTAAAATTTTAGTCATTGGATAATTTAACCTTTATTATAAAATTATCCTTGAACGGTTGCATAAAAATAATTATATGACTGGGAGAAAGCATAATAAATAATTCCCGTGTGTGATTTCCAAATTGGATTTTTTAGCTGTAGGTGGGTATATGCAGTTAATTTGCATTTTATTTTATTTATTTATTTATTTATTTGTGGAAGGAGGGGGAATCTAGAAGGACAACAAAGATTTCAAGGCCCATGGATTAAGAAATGCTACCTTAGTTGGGTGCGAGTATTATCAACAATAGGTTCCCTCCCCCTCTTGGCTGTCATACAACATGGCATTCTGGTTCTTTTATAATTTCTCCCCATCTAAATGTATTGAAATCCTTGTAATATAAATGTCAAATCCTTGCAGAGAATGGTGGAAAATGGTTGCAGTGTCAGTGATACCTATTGAACAGCATTTAGTGATTTATAATTTACACCTGTCTAAAAGTAAATTACCTACATTAGTTTTAAATAGCAATGTGAGTTTGATGTTTCTTTGTTTTTTAATGTTAAGTTAATATTCTGACTTGAATCAGTGCAGAAACTGTGTGATTAAAATCAGAAATGCCAGTTTAATATGGTGTGTTATAATTAAACAAAAAGTATGTACATCTGTATAAAATGCATTCTGAAATCATATCTTTAATTTCATAATTGGAAACTGGGTTAAAATTTATTTAAAACTAATAAAAAAAGAGAAATCTAATGTGTATACCTTTACATAAGAACAAAAAGGATATGGCTAATTTTGCAGATTGTATGTTTTGTAAATTTTATTTTTATAACAGAGTAAGTCAGAGAAAGAACTTTTCAGAAGAGAGAAAATAGCAAGGAATGAAAAATATTTCTGTGATTTCTTAATAGTTTGTCTGTTTGCAAGATTAATCATTTATCAGCCATTATGTATGTCAGTATTGTCTTATAGGATGCAGTATTGTCTTATATTTACAGAGGCAAAAATGCAGACATTAATAGTATAGCAGTAATAAGAATTGTATCACTATAGTTATAATTATAGTCGCAAGATTTATCTACTAATTAATTATTTAATCAATACTAATGTTTCATGTAATCTAACCTCTATGAATATATGTGGTTATAGTTTATGTTAAAATTTTAATGGCAAATCTGTTCAAGATAACAATCCTGAAAAATCCTGTTGTGTTAAAAAGTGCAATAAATTTTAAACAATTTAACTCTTTATTCATAGCAGAAATTCTACTAGGACTGCTATTGAAAGCAGTCCTAGCAGAAGTGCTGGTATTTTACATGATGCATATTACTTTATTTGAGATTTTCAGTATTATAGTAAATACAATGAAAACTAAACTGAGAAACTCATGTAATCATGGTTCACATTATTAGGTGTACTAGATTAATGAATTTTCAATTCAGATTACCAAGCATTATGTAAAAATTTTCAGCAGATAAAGTACCAATTCTCAATATAATATTATCAGTAGAAGGTGTCTGAAAAATTATTACTATCATGGTATCTATATATTGGTAACATTGTAAGTTTTCAAGCAGATAAAAGTGAAATCTGGAATACCTGATGTTTTGATACTCTTTGGCATTTACTCAAATCATTCTTGAAAATAATTATCTAAAAGAACAAATTCTTATTACAATCGAGAAAGGCAGCAATGTTTTGCATCAAAAGGAGAGAAAAATGTTCTGGATCATTTTCCTTTTCTTTTAGAGAAAAAAATGTTTCAAGGGGCAAGGTGTGAACTATAAACTGTCATTTCTTTGATGAAGTGCAAAAAATCTCCACTGTATCTGTTGCTTTGTAAAGTGAAGCATTGTCATGGTGAAGAACATGATTTTGTAGCCATTTTCACGGAATGTTTTGTATGACTGCTGATAAACAGTTATATACCACTCTGGAGTGATACTATCTTGCCTGTCAAATGGGAGGGGCAAACTTTTTTTTTTAGCTCTGCTTCTCTTTTTGACTATTGTTGGGGGAACAGATTCATCTGGATGGACTTATTGTGCTAAGTGCTATTTGCTGTAGAGCTCATAGGAATACACAAAACTTTCATTATCTCTTAGTGTCATAATTGGCATTGGACTGACCTTCATGAAAATTTTGAAAAAAATTTTTTGCACCAATTGATATATGCTTGTTTAACTCTTTTAACTGTTTGGATACTATCAAAATATCAAAGACATTATGCAAGATCATTTGAATTACACATATACCAATGCCTAAAGATGTTGTGTACATCACTTTCTTTTCCTGTTCATTCATAGAATGCCTTCTATCTGTGTTTTTCTCTGATGCAATAACAGGACATCTGTAATATTGTTTGTTACCTAATTTTGCCTTCCATTATGGAACTCACTGAATGAATTAAAAACAATAGTACGGCATGGGGCTTCTGTCTGAAATGTAAACCATGAGTCATTTTAAAGTTTTCAGAAATTTTTATGAAATCATTATTGAGAAATGCTCTGGCTTTAGCTCTTTTGTGCTGCTATATCAACACAATTTACCTTATTTTAGACATAAGTTAAGTATATAAACACTCATATTTTGCTGCCACAAGCAGCAGAATGGTGTTGCTCTGATTTATTCTATGTTGCCAGATCTGAAAATTTTCAGTGTTACTCTAATAGTCTGATTAATTGTATGTATGTGATTTAGCTCTGCACCCCCTCTTTTTTTTTTCCAAAACTTTTTCTATACTGCCAGTGGTATTCATGAAGTCTGCAGATGTATCTACTTACACATCGGCAAATTTTAACTTTGTACAGTGTTAATTTTATAGTAGTAACTGGTAACATACTAGTTTGGTATCTACATATGTTTTTTTTTTAAAGTTTCATATATTACATATTGGATATGGGCTACAGTTTCATTGGTATCTTTTTAAATAATCATTTCAAAGAAGCAGGAAGAAATTCACAATTTATTTTTAAACTTCACCACACAAGAACAATAAGTAGCTTATAGAGCTTCCAAATCTTATTGAATTTCTCTCGTGAAAAATATTGTTAGTTTTCAAAATCATTTGCAGAACACGCTTTAAGTTGCTTTTCAGGTAACTACTAAATTTCATAGCCGATTAAGAACTGAGCTATTCAAAAGTACTTGCAATCAGAATTGGAAGATTTCTAAATAAGAAACAAGACCTTAAATAGAAAATGTGGCCAAAAATTTGATGAAATGCCAAATAAACCCTAAAATTGTCCTAAAAGCAATAAATAAATAAATAAGTAGAACAGTTCAGCACCACCACAGCACAGGAAAAAAAAAAAAAAAAAAATCAAAAAGGATTTAAAAATATTTGCAACAATATGTAATGTATAACAATTAGGACAGTTAGGGCAAAAAGAACCAACTTAATATTCATAATTTTGCAAGACTAGTTTCAAAAGTTTGGTTATAGAACCTGCTTTACAGCTGCAGAAGTGCAAATAATAAAAGAGAAGCCTCTGCCTAGGTGATAACAATGAGAGGATAGAAGTCAAGGTACAGATGCTGTCTATAGACGAAAAATAGTAGATACGTCATTTTCATCAATAGATAGTGCCCATAGCTTGATTTCCTTCTTCTGTTTGTTATCCACCCGAGTGCAGGCTTATCTTTTGTTCTTTGCACTTCTGCAGTTGAAGAAGTAGATTTATAAGGTATTTTCCCCCTCCTTTCTGCATGCCCTTATAGTGTAACGGTAGCACATTCGTTGCATATTCGAGAGGTCTGGGTGAGGGCATTGCACGTTTTTCATTTCCCCTGCTTCAAAAAATCCTATTCACTCTACAGTGTTGCCCGAACGAAAAAGGTGGTAGATGATGATTCTTCACCACCAGAATTTGGGACTGGGTCCTCTAATCCCCAGTCGCCCTTTAAAAGGGGGAATATATAAGGTATTTTCTCCCTCCTTTCTGTATATTTAAACCTTTGAAAATAGAGCATGTGAATTTATGACTGTTATGCACATTCTTGTTGCCTTAACTCCTGCAATAATTATTATTTGGCATGTTATTTTAGCTCAAACGTAACATATAAGTTAACATGTTTCATTTGTAAGTTAAATGGCTTGTCTTGTGTGTGACTTTAAACTACTTGTAAAACATGTCCGAAATATTTTATTGTAATATATGTAAATGATATACACAAAGACGTAAATAACTGTAGTATTTCTAGTTGTTATTTAACTTGAAGTTAAAAAATGTTACTTGTGATATAATTATATGGTTCAAAAAAGCTAGTATTTTATTGAAAGTAAAGGTTGAATTTTGCTATTTATTAAAATGTTGTATTATATCTTTCTTTAGAGTATATTAGAAAAAATGTTCACTATTTTTCCATTGATAATTAACTTCTGCAATTATTTTATGAATCATAGAGTATTAAAAAATCTTGTGTTTCATTGTATGCACTGTGTTTAAATATCTTATTTTCATGACTAAATTTCTTTTTTGTATATCTTTTTCAGGAGACTCTCATACAACATGACATTTCATTTTATTCATCTCATCAGTTTATTTTCATAAAGATATGGTAAGAGTCCAATGTCTGTGCATATATAGATTGTTCTGCTCACTTTTGATGATTAACTTTCATACTAGCAAATGCACATCTGTAAACTGTGATGCAAACATCCTCTAAGGCAGTGATATCAATTGCCTATGGGCCGAATACATGATCTGAAAATAGTTGATGGGCCCGATTTTATATATTTATTTTTAACAAAATGAAAAATTTTTATCTATAAAATAAAAAATATTTTAACTAAATTATAAATTTTACTTACTAGATATTTATCAAAACATGCATAAAAAATAATAACAGTAACACAAAAGACAAAATTCAAATTTATTTTTATTTTCTAATTGAAATCTGAAGTTTGGTAGCTGCAGAACATTTTTCTTGGTTATACTGTGTAATTCAAACATACTGAGCTAAATATTAATATTTCAGACTAACATTTATTGCATATCATTCTAATACAGTACAAAGTCCATAATCCGGACTCGTCAGGACTTTGGCGATTCCGGATTAGGGTTTTTTCCGGATTATAGATCATTGATTTAAATCTGGTAAGATGGCATGCAGAAATTATACAATTAAAAATATGAAACCATAATTTATGAAATAAAGAGCAATTATGATCTAAAGGGTATCAAAATTTACACACAAAAAAAAAGCTTAATATTTATTTGTTTACCTTATTAAACATTTCTTTCAATGTAAGTTGTTTAAGTTGCTTTGTTTTTTTGTGCTAATACTTTCTCTTTAATTCTATAAACAGACATAATTTCTTGTTCAGTTACAAAGTTCCACAGTTCAAGTCCTGTAATTGCTGTGTCGAAAATGCCGACTAACTCGTCAATCAAAATTTTTTCGTTTTCAATAACCACTCTGTCACTTTCTGTCAGAAGCGCGCACGAGTAAACGCGGACGTGCGCATTAAACGTGCATGCATAAGTTTGTGGCCTTGAAGTCCGGATTATAGATCATTCCGGATAATGGACGTTTGGATTACGGACTTTGTACTGTATGTTTAATTAATCATTAATAGCTTGCTTTGATTTAAATTAAAAATAATCACCTTATGAAAACTAAAGATTTCAGAGAAAACTTTTCAAGTGAAACAAAACTTGAGATTAAATAATAGCAGTAAAGCTTCTTTCTCTTATTTATTAAATTTTTCTTCACCTAAATTAAAACACATATGTTTGTAAATAATTAAACTGTTTTTTATGCAAGCACAGAATTTGTTTAATGTCCATGCACTGAAAAAAATTACTAAAATTTATTTCCAGTATGGATTTCCAAATGTGAAAAAAGGCTGATCACATATAAATGTATTTCCAAACAAAGCAATTATTCTAAGTGCAAAAATTCGTAACTGATAGTATTTGTTTTTTGAACGTACAAGTCTAAATTCATCAAATCCTTGAATACAGTTTATAGCACATTGTAAACAGTGTCGTGCTCAGTTTATATATTTTCTTGTGTCTTATTCACATTCATTTTTAAGAATAATGAAAGTAAACTTGGACTTCAATTAAAATCTTTGCTACCCTGTATCTGTAACAAGTATATAATTCAATTTTATTCATGGGCCATATAAAATTGCTTCAGGGGTCACCAATTTGAGACCACTGCTCTAAGGTATAAAAAGTATTATGATTCTCTCTTTAAGTTTTAAAAAGGATCATCATTCACAGTATTGCCATGTTTGTACATTCCTGTTCATGTTCTGGACTGTATCCATCAGTGTATCAGGAGTCAACTTCAGTTTTCAGCTAAATCCTTTTTTGCTGTTGCATGACAGTTCATGCTTAATTGTGATATACTTTCTCTTTCAGCATGGCATCCTGTTGGATTAGATCAGTGCCAAATTAAACCCTGTGGAGGTTCCAAAGTCCTTGAAATATTGGGAATTCATTCACAGAATCCTCAAATGTATTTTTAACTTTATCAACAAGTGCTTTTAATAAACTACTATTATTATCCTACCTATTAACAATTATTAATCTTTCAAAGCAAAGTATATTATACGTATGGCATTAATTATAAATAATTACAAGCAAATTAATAAATTATAATAAAATATTTATGTGATGCTTCTTTTTCTTATGTTTGTGATAAGTAGGAAATTTTACATTTTCTGCTCAGTAGCGAATAAGTTGACACGTTCTTATATGCATGGTCTGTCATATGAACGCAGCTGTCCGCATGTGATTAAAATCATGTGAAACACAAGCTTTTTTTTTTTTTTTTATGTGGTTGTGTGTACATAATGTAATAAGAACTGAGAGATGCGTTTAATTACTTATGCTTAATTATTGCCAGTTATCCAACATTAAACTGTTACATTATTTTCATATTGCTAGATTAACTTAATAAATTCACAATAACAAAAATGTGATAGGAAAATGCTCCATCTGCCAAACGATAAAGTTAAAGTACAGAATAGTGGTATTTGTAAATAAATATGTCTACTGGCATAGATGATGTAGTGAATTGAAATGGGAAATTGCAATATATCAAGAAATTGTTTTCCGAATAATAACAAGGCACCTTCCTTTTTTCGAGCATGAAATTAACTCAGTGTCAAGATTTCCCAAATGAACAATATTATTGTATCAAAACCTTATATTCTAAGTGAGTTCATTCTATGCTGGATTTTAATAGGATGTATTATCATTAATGATTTACAGTACTTCTTTGTTATACCGCCCCTGAACCATATTTGGTGATTTTAGATTTGCGCCAAGATAACTATAATTATGTCAAGCTCGTGAAGCACAAACAGGGTTCGTAGCGGTCCTTATAAGTCCTTATATTTGAAAATAAAATATAAAGGCCTTTATAGGTGCTTTTTCTTTAAAGCCTTTTTTTTTTTTTTTTTTTTTTTTTTGTGCTTATTTTTGCTTTTAGTGCTTTTTTTTAAATGAAAGTGCAAATTTTTCCCCGTACCAAAGCCGAAACTAAATAAACAACTTTTCTTCCTAATATGAAATGTCAGATGGTGAATCATACTCCCGGAAATATCTTTTCCCCCTTTCTCTGCATTAACATAACCTTTGGTGTGCACGGAGAGTGCAGACAGGTGCCCGTCGTTCTGTTGGTCAAAGAATTGCGAAAGCAGTTGAAAATTCGGGTACATTCGGCATTCTTTTCCTCCCACCCAAATACTACACACGTTTGAATTTCTATCAAGATCTTAATAATTTGCATTCTCGTTCCGCTTGGTCAGTTCATATTCGTGTTTATTATGATCGTTATGCTTATATTATGACCATATGTATGGATGTTTATAATAACATAGTTACAGTAACTGAAGTATAGTAAATTTCCAAAAATGGTTGTGATTTAACACAGATTAACTTTCTAAGGAATATATTCGGAATGGCTTAAATAAAGCGAAAGTAATTGAATAGTCAAAATAATTTGCCAATACGTTATACAGTACGAAGGTTGGGAGATTCTCCCCCTTTTTCCGCAAAATCTCGAATATTGAAACTGTTATAGTTCGCTGCAAAACAAGCAACGGACTACTTTTTTTTTTCTTTTTGGGGGGGGTCACTTTCCAATCTGGATTGAATAGGACTAAAAGTTCTGCGGTCTACCAACCCAAGCGAAGAATGATTCTATTCCGGAAATTTAGCGCAGTCTGTTGAAAATCAGAATGAAAAACACCCCAGATTGGTAAGTCTCTTTCTTTTCCTTTATTTAGTTCTTTATTCTCCCAATACTGGCAGCTGTTGAATCCGATTGCGTAATATCATGTAGGGAAGAATTACAGCGCACGTATTGCACAATAACGTTTGTGATATTTTGCAGAGATAATTAATTTTGATGTTCGGTCTGTAAGAACGATTGTAAATTATTTAATTGTTATTAGACAAAATATCTATTGAGAAAATGGCAACAGCTAATTTCTGAATGTCATTCTATTTATAATTTTAAAAATATACTTTCAGATGATGTACGCTTCAAATGTTTAACGGTACGATGCAGTAAGTACGTTTGTTATGTTATGTACATTTACGAAAACGTTACGTGTAAATTATTAAGATTTATCTTCAAATAAATGTTTGTCTTTTACAACCATTTTTACGAGTGATTAATTTAACTACAAAAGGAAGTTTACAGGTCCCAGATTTGTTTATGAACACTTAAAAGAGTTTTCCTGTGCTTGCAAAGCAGAATATTTTTCTGTTCCGTTGATTTGTTTTTATATGAAACAAACCAACGGCACTTGCACATATGGAAATGTCAAAAGCATTTATTTAGTGGAAAAATCTAAAGAACGGCTACAGTCTATCCCCCCCCCTCCGCTCCTATTTTTCAAGTTACGCTCGACTGTCCGAATGTTCGCCAATTTTCAAGTATGCAGGTAGTTAAGCTTTTACTGTTAAAGGATGACTGCATGAAGCAAATTTCTGTCTTCTGATTTCAGAAATGTTCCTCTTTTTTACTTAAATTACTTTGCTTGCAATATCTGTTAAGGAAAAACTGATATACGATGAAAATTTAGAAAATGTTCATAATTAAATTAGTTAAATATCAATAGGAGTGGAAAAATAAATTGTATTAAGTTCCAAGCGAAGAGAATAAATATGCCTTATTATTATTTATTTCCTATATTTTGAACTGAAATTTCATCATTAAGTCTTGTAATATAGTTTTGTTCTGCATAGTTTTTTTTTTTTTTTTCCTTCTCATTGTAAACTAGTTCTCTAAATTGAACTGTTATTTAAAATCTAAAAAAAAGCAATTTCCATGGTTGAGGTAATGCTTATTCTCTTAATAACTACTGCATTTCTCATATTTTAAATTACGAGTCTAATTTTTAAGGTTATGCAGTTGTGTATAATGTAATTAAACAGGTGCTTATTTTTTTCTTAAAATGTGCTTGAAAAATGCTTATAGGTGCTTATTTTTTTAACTAAAATGTGGCTATGAACCCTGACAAATGTAAAATAAACAACACAAGATATAATACACACATGTTGTTTACTAATAATTTTAAGAATCTTTATCCTTATTATTTTATCACATATAACTGTTCCAGTCATCTGCTGCGCTTCATAGACATGAACTCTTCTGCTGAAGAATAATAAATCTAATAGCAGTGACAAGTGATATTCTAGAACTGCTAAACTTATTATCAAACATGGAGCCCCCCCCCTTTTTTTTTTCAATTTTTAACTTTGTACCTCCAAATGGTTTCGTCGTAAACATAAAGTTTCATATTGTGGCCATCTTCGCATACTTGTTTGTCAGGTAGAAAACCTTTTTTTTTTTCCGAAAAATGATATGGCATTCACCTCATTAATTGGTAAATTGAAGATCATTAATATCATATTCACAAAAAAATGTGTTGAGTATATATAAGGTATAAGATTCTGGCGACGTATCTCGGCTGATTGGTGATTAAATCTTGGGTTCTGCTATAACAAAGAAATACCCGATTTACAGTTCTTCATCAAGATATGCACGATCTTCATATAGGTATTGTATTTATATTATGTGTTTGTGTCATTCCCTTATTGCATTTTCAGTATTTGCAAGCTCTGCCAGTGGTCAAATTCTTAAGATGCTTAGCACGCATGATTGCTGCTGGTCCGATTTCAGGCAAATGAGTGATTGTTCTCGAATGTAACTTGGAATACAAGTGAATTTATCTGAAAGAATTTTCACAAAGTTATCCTTGATGAAATAGATAGTCTAATATACCTTCAGTTAGAAAGCCAATAATCAGACAATCTAAATTCTAGTTATGAGCAATTGTCTGGATTGTAGAAACGTTGACTAATACAAACAGAATACTTCTCTGGGTAATACTTCCCAAGTCATTTTTGCCTTATGTGTAATGTACAACTTCGTAATTCCAGGTGGAATAATAATTTATATAAATCTCAAATTATATATTTAATTATTTTCTGAAAAAAAAAACACGTTTTTGTGTTTTTAGTTTCATATATTTATATAGAAAACTATTATTGGTACGTATGGTTCTAATGTAATTTTGGATTTCGTATTAGACATACTCTGTGCTGCCTATAATGATCAGACTTTCCCGGAAAGAAAATTTGAATCTTTCATTAAATAGTCCATGCCATTGTCTACAAAAATAGTGATCGCTTGGGAAAAATGGATGCTTATTGCTACCAAAAGGAGCCGCTACGGTATAATGTTTAGGAATATTTTATGTTCAAAAATAATTTAAAACGGCTGTTAAAGAATATTTTATAAAATGTCATTAACCTCTATTATTATGTTTATAATAATTAAATTTCTCACTGTATTTTTTCAATAAAGTATGAAAAAATGCCTTTCTTTCAAATAAAAATAAAGAGAATAGCAAAGAAATAATCAGACAAACTTAAAGAAGTACAAATAACTTTTAAAAATATGCAAAGTAAGTACAAAAGTGATTCACATACAACGATGCAATAAGTCAAAATATGTCCACATATTGATACACTGATGAAAATGACAATCACGATTTCAAACTGAATTCAGTACCTTAGAAGTACTGTTTTTAATTAAATTAACATTTTAAATAGTTCAACTTTTCTTGAATTACCACTTCTTTTTATCTTTGTTTTTATTCTTTTTATCCTTGCTTTTCTTGGAATCCTTTGATTTCTTATTATTTTTGTCTTTCTTTTCATAAGCTTTCTTTTTGTTCTGATCTTTTGATTTCTTTTCCTTTGACTTTTTGCTTTTCTTAGCATTCTCCGTATGTGTCTCCTTCAAAGGTTCGAAAGAATCTTCAATCACTTTTTCATCTACAGGATTCTTTGTCTCATGCTCTGAAAACAACTTCTTTTCCTTCTTGTTGATAACTTCTTAAAAAAAAGAATTCAATATCGTTAGAAGAGATAAGTTATTGTATTTTTTATAATCAACATTCGTTATGAATAATAACTTTTGTTTTTGAACCATGTTTTCGAAAAGGAAAAAGACATAAATAATGATGATGAAAATCAGTTTCATTTGCTAATTCGAAATAATAAAAAATAAATTTTAAAAATATATACATAAATAAAAAAAACTTGTAATTTGGAAGCATTAAATTATTGTGTAACACCTCAGAGAAGAGTTTACTGTTAAAAAAAGCTATTAAAAAAATCTCAAAATACACTGCTGCAAGATTTGCACCCATATAAACTGAGGCATAACAGTGAAATTTAATACACAGATATCATTAAAAAAATTATGCAATGTCTGTGTCTTTGCAAATGCGATAAAATTCTAAACATTTCAAAAGTTACTAATTAAAATTTTGTTTGTATTTAATTGGATTTTTCGAAGAAAAAAATTTAAGAAATAAGATTACCTAAATCAGTACTTTCAGAAGTTGTTTCAATGGTACTAGTACTGAATCGATACTCAAAAGCAATGAATAAGATGTTAAGGATTATTTAATGTTAGAATCATGAAAGACATATTGAAAAGAAATATGAACAAACATTTCTCAATGACTAAACTATATAAATATTTTTAAAGCAACTCAATAATTTAAATAACAGTAATAACATGAACCTTCTCATGGTGGCCATCTTCAACAGATAATTCCACCTTTAAAAATAAAAATGAGAGATATACAAGAATATCGGCACTGAACAACACCACTCTAAAATGATCATTTTTATGGAATAGTAGAATCTCTTGTACTACTTGTACTAGTCGTCTTGGAAATATTTTGTATTTAAGGCTGATCCCCCCCCCTCCCAGTAAGGATCAAATTTAAGAGAAAGTGGCAAAAAATAGTTACTCTCATTAATGGAGAAAAAAATTCATAGTCAAATTTCTCTCTATGAAAATGACAGATCATCATCTACAACATTAGAATTTAGAAATGATGAAAATGGAAATTCTAACTACATCTGTAATATTAAATTAATTTTGGGAATAATCTAACAAAAGTAGTCACACTTCAGATACACAGAATGTGCAAGTAGTTGATCAATTACTGTATTTGCCACTGTAGAAGACTCGCTTTTTTTCTTTGGAAATAAGTTTGGAAAACAGAGTGAGTCTTATACGTTGATACTTATTGCGTACGATACATCGTTTGTGAATGGATCAGAGCTTCATGGGATGCTGTGAAAACAGACAGTGGTTAAATCATTTTTAAGAAGTGTGGTATTATTAATGCATTGGATGGTACAGAAGACAATTTGTTGTATGAGGACTCAGATGCTGATTTAGAAGAGGTTTCAAGTGACTCTTCATTTAGCTCAAGATGTCTGGGTTTTGACGAAGGAAATTAAAAGGTGTTCTTTCCCACATAGATTGGGTATTTGCCTACCGAAAGTATCACTTTGTATTTGTATTACTTTATATTTAAAATACTGTAAATTCATTATAATGATCAGTAATAAAAGTTTTATCTTTCAAAAATGTGTATAAAAAAAGGTGGTGCGTCTTATAAATACGGCCGGCAAATACAGTAATTTTTATTCAATGAGTTAAATACCCAGTTCACAGTAAAGAAACATCATTATTAGGTTCCTAGAAAAGGCATGCATCAATCTAAAATATTTTTTTTCCTCGGCTAATAATATATATAGTAAGAGGCCATTTTCAAAACCGAATATGCTTCATGAAAGGCGGTACAGCAGAATTTTGTGCAACAGTGTTGACCAAATACTTTTACGCCATAATTTTATCAACTCTGAAAATGATGAATATGTGTAAGTCTCCACTAAAAAAGTAAAGTCTCAATAGTCTCAGTCCACTAAAAAAAGAATTTAGGAAATATGAAGAATTAACTGTGCCCTTCCTAACATTTTAGTTACGTCCTCCTCCAACGTTAGCTCGGTGTAATAGCCATCTCCACTGCGATAGCACGCATGGGAAAATTCTCTACAAAGAAGTTTTTAAATGTTTTGCCAGATATTTATAAGATTTGGCATCTAGATCGGATCTGTTGGATATAAATGTTTGCTCAATATCTGTTACATATCAGCTTTATATCAACATATTTTATGTAGAATTTATCAGAGGTCTTTGTTAAGAATCTCGAATAGTGTCAGATTTTCTCTAATATGAGAGAGCAGTGTTACCCAATACTTTTTCAAACACTTCAGAAATATTTTCTGCAAGATCTTTATGTTAATAATAATTATCAGAAAAGTAAAATCATTGCTGTGGGCCATGGAGCAATCAAGCGCTAATTTATGTGAGTCATAGTTATTCAGAAATCAAAGTCGTTAATTATTAAAAGAATGAAAATAATTCCTGCCCTAATCATTCTTTTTCAAACCTTATCTCGGAATACTTACAGAAAGCATAAGAAATTAAATACTTAAAAATAATTGAACACAAATAAAGCAGAACAAATAAATGTAATGATTTTTGGTGTATCTAGAATTATAACTCCAGAACACAGCTAGGCATAAAATAATTACGATAAGTAAGAATGAATCTATACAGAAATATTTCACTAACCACCATGATGAGTGCCATGATGACTCTTCTTTTTCTTATCCTTTTTCAAATTATCTTCGTAAGTCAAATCCTGCAAATGAAGGTCATCGATCTGCTCTTTGTGCTTTTGGTCAGCTACCACTTTTTTGCTAGTTTCAACGTCTTCCTGCAGCTTGATTTCTGATTCAGGTACTTCAAGTGGAGCGCTTTTGGGTTGAGGTTCAGCATCGCTAGGCTGTGAAAAATAATCAAAGTTAACCCTGATTTGGGGAAACATATTTTATCAAAAAACTAGCAACAGACATGTGCTCTTTGTGCTCGATAAAACAAAACTACTTTAAAAAGGCAGAATATATAAAAAACTTTCATAGTAATGGTGGAAAATCATTGCATAATTCTTCTGTTAAAATCAATTCCCTCCTTTAAGTACATAAAATCGCCAAAAATTGAAAAGTTACCACTTCCAGCTTTAGTAGTGCAAAACACTAGTACCCTACCTGCCATTGGGGGGGGAAGTTTTCGTAAGTTGGATAAGGATTGCTTGTGTGAACAACATAAATCAAACAGCCTAGAAATATCTCATCTAAAAGTGTATTTAAAGATAGCAAATATTTTTACTAAAATTTTACTCATGACGACATGGATGTAAATTGTCTGTCCTTTCATAGGAGGCAACGGTGGCCCACTTAAGTGCCTCCATAATAAGTTACTATCACTTCCAGCTTTAGTAGTGCAAACACTAGTACCCTACCTGCCATTTGGGGGGGGTTCGTAAGTTGGATAAGGATTTTTACTCGGATAAGTTGGATAAGGATTATATTTTGTCAACTTTGATGATTTGAATAGCTAAGGAATCTCGAATAGCAAACGCCTCTCATCAAGAATGTTTGTAAGGTATTTATTTTGTCTTTCTCTATTGTAACTTGTGACCAAACCTTTAGCGATTAAGACTTTAAGCGATTTAACGCTAAGTCCTAAAAGTACTTAGCGTTACTAGATGACCCTTTATTTTAAACTAAAATAGATTACCAGAAGGCACACGTGGTGCTTACAAATCAGCCAGCATGGCTGAGTATGACGAGAATTCAATAGATAATAACAAAAGGCTATTCAGAATAAATTAATTGAGAAATTGGCTCTAAGACTGACCGGTGTGAAATTACTATCCGCAAATATAATATACAGCCGCAGACAGGAACATCATCTTATAATTAGTAATCCTTGCAACGTGGCAGTAAAGATTCTGAGCAGAAAATAACTAGTTAAACAAATTAAATAAACTTCACACATTATCCGAAAAAAAACGTTTTAGGTAACGAACGTTGTTTTGGATTACGTACACTCAGATCGACAATAAATATTTCTCAAAAATATTTTGAGATAATCTCTTACACAAAACTGACACTCAATGGCTTCTAAAAACATCATTTTGATATTTTCTATTATTTAACTAATTAAAAAATTATTAACAATTACTTACAGCTTTGTTAAAAAAAGCTGTACATAATTTACAGGAATACAAATGCGAACCGCAGAAAATTATGGCCACATTGTATTGCAGGCAGAAATTAAAAGGGTTTTGGACACTGAAAATTTTTTCATTATCTATAATATTTTGTTTCTAGGCTTGGGATTGGAAGTTATAGTGAACAGCACATCAAGGAATTAGTAGAGGAGCAATAAAATAAGCTCAACAACCTCCTGAAAAAAAAAAAGGGGGGAGACTGTGAAAGAAATACTTCCACCCTTCCTTTGATCTGCAAAATGTTAAAGGATGCTAAATTTTCATTTAACAGTACCAAATCCGATAAAGCAGTACCAAACTATACCACAAGCATTTTCTGTGACTGTGCCAAGTTCTCCTTTCAAAACATTTTAAAACATAGACAGCAACAAATCAGATTTGACAAAATTTTAGTGAAACACAGGTCCAATGAGTCTCAAGCAGAGTCAAGAAGATACCCCATAAAGCCAGTTATGAGTCAAACTAGGGTGAGTCAGAAATCGTGCATATTTAAGTTTACTTGTAATCTGGCAGAAAAGGGCTGAATTTTGTCTTCTTTCTGGTAGATTGCATCAAAAGAGAATGTACGGAAACTATTCTCGTGTCATTCATAATCTCATTTATAAGTGATTGCACTTGTAATCTATTCATTGATGAAGTAATATCACTTGGCTTGCCAGTCCTTTCCCACGGCAGTGAAGGTTTTTGCTAGAAATACACTCAAAGTTGCATCCATTAACTCAATAAGCTCAAAGGTCAGAATGTATGGATCAGTTGCTGACAAGAAAAAATCAGGCAGACAATCTTAGGCGATGATAAGTTGTTAGGATTGAAGCTGTATTACTGCATTCATTAGGCCATCGTAAAGTATTAAAAAAAAAAAAACACTGAGATCTAGAATATCGAAAAACAGCGCGCAGAATTGGAAAAACTTATACCTTCCAATACATGAAGTTCAACAAAGTACTGAAACCTCCCGATCAAAGGATAATGGTAAGTATTGCACGGAAAATATTTTATAATCGATCTAGGAACGCGGAATTATGTTGTAGAACCAAATTATTCTCAGCTATGAGACATGCTGCATCTGAGTGTGTACGTGGAGAGTCAAAACTGCTAAATTTGGCCATTTGAAACTTTACCTGCTATCCATGAATTGTTCCTGCATTCATCTAAAGGAGGGAGAGGGAAAGGCAATGTGGTGTACATTATTTTGCCACTGAATTGTACTCCTCTTTTTTATTATTATTTTTACTAATATTATTAAACAACAATTTACAGTGTGATATAATATATATGTACCTTTTATAAACAGCTCATTTTACAATTGGGAGTGCATTAAATTACATCTGGTTCCAACACGACAATGCAGTCTGTTATACGTAATTACAAACATCTATATTTATTTGTTATTATAAACATCTATATTTGTTTACAGCAGAACCTCTATTAACTCAGTTTCTGTCAACCAAACTTTCTGTTAATGGAGCCAGTAATCAAATCAAAGAAATCATTGGAAATTATAGTAACATGGTAGAGCAAAAACATGGCACGTAATCATTGGAAAATGTAGTAATGGTAGAGCGAAAATCTATTATCAATTATTGATATTTTGGCCTTTCATATCATATCAGCGATGGATCAATTAACCTTCCGATTGTGCATTACAGTAAAAGATATAGTTTACATGTTTTCAGCATGAAAGCAATACTAATATGAATTCACAGGCATCTTCTTCAGTGGCTTGACAACCCAGGGTCGGCTCTGACCTTCTCCAGGCATTTCTGCTTTTGGCAACTGTTTTGCAGTTTTTGCTCATTTGAATGTTTAGGTCATTTTCAATACAATCAGTTCATCTCACTGCAGCTCAACCTCGAGATCTGGCTTCCATGGGCTTTGCCAGAAAGATTTTCTTGCCATGCTGAGACTTCATGAATTCTGGCCAGATGACCAGCCCATGAACTGTAGTTTGAAGAATTTTGCTACATCAGGTTATCTATAGATCTTGTATAGCTCTAAATTATATCTTCTCTATGATCTATTGACACAGACCCCACCAAGGAAACAATGCAAAATCCTTCTCTCAAAAATCCCTGAAGCTTCCGCATCATGCGAAGTCAGTGCCCAAGATCATACACATATTTCAAACGCTAGAAAAGGATGCGAAGACATAACTCAAGATGATGTTCCAGAATAAATATATAGGAAAAGGTGAACCAAATTTTGGCAGATCAAGAAATCATATGTGGAGTAAATTTGGTGAATAAGAATAATTGCTGTGTTGAGATTAATAATGAAGTGGAAAATGTAAAAATTTGCCACATTGAAATCTTGATTTGGGTTTATTTCTTATTATAGCAAAGTACGTGAGGGCTGTCTACCAAAAGGGAGAAATATTTTTGTGGAATTTTTAAAGAAAACTGTTTCATATTCACATTGCACATGAGGAAAACCACAAAAATTCCCACATAGCTGGCTCATTCGTTGGGATTTGAAGCCGTACCCAAACCCCAGTATCCAACGGCTTTACCACTTGGACATTTGCGGGCCTTGGGAAGAGCTTTTTAATATTTCGAATAGCATCATGATGCTTCTTCTATGGACATCCTATGGATCTGATCAAAAACTAGCATGATCGTGCGGCAACTGACAAAATTATAGGGCTGTCACAAAAAAAGAGTAACAGACATTTTCAAAATAATAATAATAACCTTATAAATGCAAGTAATAAATTTGACAAAATTGCACATTTTGCGCAAATGTTGATGGAATTTGTTTATTACATTAAATGTTTACTCTTTCCCTATTTATTTATAATTTTTAATGAATATTTTTTGTCACTAAACAAAATCTAGATAGATGGTTTGTTCAATCGAAGGGAAAAAAATTATCTAATAACATGGTTCGTTAAAATATTGATAGTGGTATTTCAGAACTCACTGAATTTCAGAAAATATTCTCGAAAGAACAATTTAGTGTTAACCCAGTTTTCGATTATCCGAGGTGGCTTGAGTTTCAATTTTCTCAGAGAACTACGGTCTCCCTTTAACCCACATCTGTCACTCCCTTCCATAAACTGTTTCTTTGTAGGTACTTCAAAATAGCAGTTTGCAAGAATAATCTCTATATGATCTCCGAGTTAAGGACAAACATAAAAACAACTGTCTTATGCATCGACATCTGTATATATCGTAGAATTTAAAAGAAATCTAATTTAACCCCTTCGCGCCGACTGTCACGTATACGTGCCAGCAACGAACACACTTATGTACCGGCCGACACGCAGGCGTGCCAGAGCATTGTTGCATTTACTACCGACTGTCACGTATTTGTGCCAGTATCTTGGAACGTTTTTCAAACTATAATTTCTGCCACAAGATGGCACTGTATGTCCATATGGTTTCAGATACATGTACATTAGACCTTCTACTCAAAATGAGAGAAGCATGACTCACATACACGTGTTTTTGATTATATAAACAAACGGGGAACTAAATGTTTCCGAATGGCGTGATATACGAGGTCTCTTTAAATCGCACTTTATTCGCACGTGGTAGTTGTTTATTGTAAGTAGAAGTTTTATGCGCTAAAGCGTTGAGTATTTCGGTTTACAGTTCACTTTTTAGAAAATAATTAGATCTTGTTAGACGTGAATTCTTTCTGTTTTTACCGTTTCAATGTCGAAGAGTCGAAATGTTTAACAGAGCATGAAATAGCAGAAATGATGCAAAATATTTCAGATATTGATTCTGATATTCTGATATTGATTCTGAAAGATTAACTGAAAGACATTTTCCAAAACTTTGTTCAGAAGAGACTGATAAGAAAATGAGACGACGATCCTTCGTTTGTTCACATTCCCGGAAAAATCCTCCAAAACGGCAAATGAGTTATTACGAGTTCAAGGAATGTAACGTAGGGACTGTGTGTAGATCCCTGTTTTAAAATTTTTCATACGAAAAGAGAATTTTAAGTAATATATTTAGTTTTCAGATGTATAATGTTAAAAAGTCATAAAATGGTGAGTAATTAAAATAAAATGTGTAAAATATGCATTTTAACAAGAAATAAGGTAATTAAAGTATATATATAAAATATTTTATAAAGCATAAGCCGTTTAAATACTCTATAGAGCATTATTAAACAATGCGTTGATACTTCGGAAATTTCATGGATTTAGGCTTAGTAGGAAAAAAGCCCCCCGGGCCCTGGAGAGACGCTCGCAGAAGACACTGCCGGCCTCTGTGATAAGCGCGCGTTTTCGCTACCCGGCTCGAAGGGGTTAACACACATTTGCAAACAAAGAAGTCACTTCCAGCAATTACTGTAATAAACGACATTTCATTAGTAACAGTGAAAAACAAATTCTATCCATATCTGTATCAAAGTCACCTACTGCTTGGCAATAGATGCACTATAAATGTAAAATTCAATTCATGTCAAACAACTTTTCGTTTTGCTGTGGGCGATTTTTAACTCGCCCTGCACTAATATTTATCAATTCATTGATTTTTTTTATTAGAAAGGGGGAAAGTTTGATTTTGCAGTTAAATAACAGTAAATGACACAACTCACTAGTTTCTCTTGAGAGTGCTTTTTGTGTTTGTGGCCGGAATGATGAGATTTCTGATGATCTTTTGAGTATTTCTTCTCGTTGTGTTCTCTGTTCTCTTCAATTGTATCAATATTCTCCTCATGGTGCTGCTGCGAATAAAAGAAAAATTAATTTATAAATCAAAATATCTTTCTTATAACACTCATGGCATATCTACTCATAATAACATAACATATTTTGCAAGGCTGCATTATTAGAACTAAAAGTTTATGCATTTATATATACATGTATATATGTAAGATAAAAAATATGTAAATCAAAAATATAATTTAAACTAACGATAACCCTTTAATTGTCCCTCTCTGTTTTAAAAATAATAACTTCTTTGGGTTGTGTCATTTGTAGATCATTCCATTTTGCATGGCATGCGCAGCGCTGATGACATAATAAATGGGAACTGAAACTTTTAACTCGAACCAAAACTTTTCTCTTCGTGTGCTTCCATATTGGATAACTACGAACTTTAGCTTCAGTCTGTGCAGTACTTGTACACAATTTCGCTGGGCTCGCTTACTATGGCAATAATATCAAAAATGTAAATGTTCTTGAATAGGCATGCCTAGAGTGCCAAGCGAACTGTGGCCACAAATGTCAGTTGCAAATAAAAATGAAATTAAAACTGCCTCGACTGCCAGGTTTCTTAGATATTACAAGGTCAACATATTAGCCTGCTATGCAATCAGGATTCTTCCTCTTCAATATGGATCTACAATCTATAATAGCTAGGTATTACACATTAGCACTGCTATGTCTTTTCCTTGCTATTTTTACACACACACTGTTTTTATATATACATATGTATCAGATAGTATATAACAAATGTTTATCAAAATTTTATGTTCCTATACATAAAATTATGACAGATTGGTTGTTGTATCAGATAGTATATAACAAATGTTTATCAAAATTTTATGTTCCTATACATAAAATTATGACAGATTGGTTGTTAACAGATGTATGTACATCTATTGTGCAGTAGAATACCTAGTAAGTGCATGGCGTTAGAAACATTTTGTGTTGTTGTTTTTGTTTATTACAGCGGTTCTCAACCTTTTGACAAACACGTACTATCTAAACAAAAATTGAAAACTTTTAATACCACCACTACAGAGTACTCTTGAACAAAGCTCGCGTCGCATAAATTTACGAGTGTTACAAAAAAACTCAATCAGGATGTTGGGGTTCTAATTTTTGAAATTAATAGTTAAAAATACTTTGCTTCTTTGACTAAGACCTACTAATCATTTAAGACCTATTAATGGTTTATTATATAAATGGTACACATGTTTATAGAAATTTAACATTTAAATATACAGTACAAATTTCTTAATTTGCTACACTTGCTTGATAAGTAACTACAATTTGAAGTATTGGACCTTCTCTTAAGGGATTTATAAGATTTAGTAACTGGAACTAAATTTAAGACCTGCAGGGCATACTAGACAGGACAGCGAGTTATCGTTATGTCTTAAACATTCACAAAGTACTGGAAAAGGGTTTAAAGTAACCCTTTTATATTTTAGTCTAAACCGAACATAAAGGCACAACTTCTGCTAGAGACAAACCACCTCTTGTGGCTTTTAAATTAAGCAATAACAGACAATTAAATTCAAACACTGATAATGGAGTCTAAGATTATATATGCAACAGAATAAGAAATAAGCTGGTTCAAAATATTTTAACGGTGCACAAGTTTAAAGCGAGACTCTCTCAACTAAAGTTTCAAGACCCTCAACTTAAATACACTCAAGGCTAATCTGCATTGTTTTGGATTCCCTAATTTGGTCTAACAACCAAAGAATATGATTCTGAACTTGAGATTCGAGTTGTCCAAGCTATACTATCTTAGCAATTACAATTCAGTCCAGTCTTTATTAACTGTGAATTTAATTATCAACTTAATATTTTAAAAGCAAATAATGTAATTATTTTCGTATGGTATGAATGAGGGCTCATAAAAATGCATACTCTGCACAAAAGAAAGAGGGATGTTCTATATCTCCCGTTCTATTGGACCGACTGGCGAAATTTAATTTGCATTTTTCAAATCTTGAACGTGCGACTTAGGGTTTATATTAGATGTATATATAGTATTGTTCCATCCATTTATATATAGTATTGTTCCAGTATTTTGATATAAAAAAATTAATTTTTTCTAAAATGACATACTGATTTTTTTCCGTATGTAAAAATCGCATTAGCTGCTCAATGTTTATTGAATTGGATATATATTTAGTAATATCTCTTTTTATTATTATTAAATTTACTTCATTCCTTCTTTCATAATCCGAAATTCAAGTTCAGTCGAAATAAAATTCGCAGATATTTTCTATTATTTTTTAAATTTGTATTTTATGGAATTTTTCGAAAAACGTTTTGAATTTCAATTTATAAAATTTTTACCATTGACTTAGAATAGATATATTTCTCCGCAAACATGCAAAAACTTAGTTTTTTTATTCAATATTTCCCAAGATATACGTGAATTTATGTATAGGCGCATTCTGAAATTAGGTGGCTTTGTTATAAGCAATAGTAACACCAAACATAGTTTGCACTTTGTTAAAATTATTTGAAAATATGAACGATGCACCTTTTTTTTTTTTTTCTGCTCGTGCACAATGAAAGAGAAAGGAGAGAAATGGGTCACAGTAATATTAAGAATTTTACCAAGCAAATTATTCTTGGTGCAAAACTCAAAAAAGTGGGTCAGGATAAACTTTTAAATTTCTCTGCAAGTTTCTCACCCAGTTTTACAAAATTTTATATTTAAATAATGAAAAGTTAATTAACAAATTAATTTAATAATTAAAAGTGTGTCAAATAAATTTCTAAATTTTTCGATTAGTTTCTCACCCAGAAGTTTACAAAATTTAATATTTAAGCATAATTTTGGAAATCAAAATGTGGGGAAAAAAATCCGTATACCGTTTCTAAAAGGTCCGATTTTATATAAAAACAACTATGTTAGAGCAATACTATATGTAAGTCTAATATATTCCCTAAGTACTGCTTTCGAGACAGGAAAAACGCAAATTAAATTTTGTAAGTTTGCCCACTAGAACGGAAAATATAACACTATCTTTTTTTTTTTCGGGGGTGCAGAGTGTACTTTAACAAAAAATATTACACCATTTTTTATATTCTACAATTACATGAAGGCGCACACAGCAAATAAATATATTTCAAACAATAATTTTTAAAAATGGGTCTTTTTTTATTATTATTATTCTAACTCTATTCCTTCTACATAAAAAAAACAGCTTAATCGCTTCTGAAATCGTCCAGATGTATTTTTGTCTGTTCGCTTGCTGTTATAAATTACAGCATTAAGACATGCAATCTAACATAATGTAAAATGAATTAAATAAAAGGAAGATAATAATTCTATTAAGCCAATAATAAACTGAAAATAAGATAATTTGTAAACCGGAGCTTCAAAAAGAATAATAAATCAATATTAAAATGCTTGAACAGAGATAAATAACGTTCACAAATGATCATTTATTGTTGCTGTTATTTCTTCTTGTTTATTTTAATTACTTAGATAAAAACCACATCTTACTAAAAAAAAATTTTCGTGAAAAACAGACGAGGTTCGATGCTGCTAACAATGGGCATAACCAGCGGCGGGTTCCCGGATTTTAGCGTGACATCACAAGGATTAAAGTTGGATAAAAAAAGGGGGCGTGAGACTCTTAATGGGACTGCACACAAATTGCCAAGTGTTCTATTTCCTTTTTATATCATATTTAAATGTGTACTAAATATTTTTCGCTCGTTATTCACACCAATATTTATTAATCTTAAAACTGGTCGAAATAATTGTCATTATGATTATAATCATTAACTTATACGTCGAAACTGCTCCAAAATTTAATGCATTATATTAAAGTTCCCATAAGAAAAACGGCAATAAAAGTGAGATCTTCATCATTATTATCTGGAGCATTGGATTTAAATATTTGAAAATTTTTTTTTATGTAATCGCATAAATACATGTTTATTTTTTTTTTATTACTATTATTATTTTAAAGTCTCTCTGATTCATTCAGAACATTAGTTAATCTTTATCAATGACGTATAAAAAATAATTATCCGAGATAAAAATATGAGGCAATACTGCACTAAAAAATATTTAGTTCTAATAGTTAAAGTTTCCAGTTTTATTGTTTCTTCTGTCATTTTTTTGAGAAAATACAAGATGCTCGGAATAAAAATACAGAATAAACGAAATACACCGAGTAAAGTAATTAGATTATATCTGTTTCAAAAAAACTTATTAAAAATCTGATAATTTTATCAGTCAGGGCTCTGTATATTTTTATGAAAATTTTCTAAGCTCTAAGACAAAACAAAACAAATCACTGAATTTAGATCCCAGTTCTACTGCTGTTTCATTGAACTACCGTTTTGCAATAAGTAAACGACCCTCGAAAACAGTTTCGTTTCGGAATTTACAGCAGTCTTGGAGAACGCAGTAAAAGACGATGGCATGAATGTGAAAAAAAAAAATACCCGCTGACCTATAATTCCCCCCCCCCGTTGTCGTTAAAATACTTTTATAGTATAGTCATCCTAATCGTAGATCTCGCTCAAAACTCTCTTATGGTATCTTTATTTATAGCTCCCTCCCAAAGCGGATATTATTATGTTAGAGGAATCTTAGAAGGTATATGTTTAAAAAGGTTCAGTCAACGAAATGGTAGTTCTGAAAGAGATTATTAAACTTGAAAAGCAGGTCAGTACTAACCTGCTATCCTAAACGGATTTGATCTTAAAATGAAACATTTATGCTTTTATATAAATCACCAATTCCAATAGCAGAAGATTTTGACACTACTGAAGTAAATTTTAAAAAGGTCAAATATGCTTGTAATGACGCAATGGACTTATAAGATATGATGCTATAAGAAATATTAATAGCATAGTAATGGAAAAAAACTTAGCAATATTTGATGTTGTAGAAAAATCTATTGCGCAGATACTGATGGCGTAAAAACGTAGATTGTAGATCCATAATGAAGAGCAAGAACTTGTCAAAATCAATTATAAATTAGTAATAGCCCCTTAATGCTTAATTTTGGTA